CTAATTACAACATTCTTCCCTTCAGCACTCCAAGGAGTCCATATTTAACCTGAGGTTCCGTCCTTAAACCAAGGCGTGAAAGGTAAAACTAATTGAGGGTTTGGACCAAATCAAATCTACATTTATTTAAATTAATTTTTATTTTATTTATATTTTTTTATTGAAGTTACTAACAATTTATTCATGATGTAGCAATTTTAAGGAACGTGCGGAATGTGAGTAATTAATTAATTTAATTACTCTTATTTTATTTTAATATTGCTAGCATCATGATTAGGTTATTTTATATTTGATTTGACTAACGCTATTATTGTTAAATTGCTTCCAATATTAATGTTTATTTTATTATATTTATTGATTACCATATTGCATGTTAAAGGGAATATGTAATTGAAAATTATGCCTAATAAGATAATCTGGACAACCGGTTTAGGTTCCTTTTTAATCTTGTTGTTTAATCAAGTGATGACAATATTTTAGAATTATATATTGCATTAACATTCAACCAATTTAGCCTAATAATAGTTTGGTGCTAATCGAATATTTTGTTTGTATGCCTTTGAGATCGCATGAATACTTTTCACTATAAGAATCAAGTAGAGGCCAATACGGGCGAATGTGACTCCATGACTCACTTCGTACCATCATCCCCGATTCTCTTTTCGTGGTTCCGAACCATATGGAGTTAGTAATCTCGTGGATTATGAATGGGGTGTAACCTTCACGGATCAATCGTTGTTGCATTTCGTTGTCCCTTTATTCGTGGTTGCCTTAAATGATCCGTGAACGGTTTACAAGTTCCTTAAAAACTTGTTGGTGGCTCCCTACTTCCCTTGTCCCTAATCGTATTATGTCGATTCCCACTTCCTATGAGTGTCAAGCATATTCACAAAATTCTTTTACATAGGCGCACTTCGAACGATGCCAAAAAATGGTGTAGCTTTCCATTCAAAGGTGTCTCTTAGCTCGGTCCTAGGTATGGAATTGGTTCATAGTCATTTGAAGTACCTTGGGCTACCAACTGTTGTGGGGAGATAAAAAAAAAGTTGTGTTCTCTTTTGTGAAAGATCGAATTTGGAAAAAAAATACAAGGTTGGAAGGAGATATTACTTTCTAGAGCAGGTAAATAAGTTCTTCTAAAATCGGTTATCCAAGAGATTCCAACTTATCTCATGGAGGTATATAAGTTTCCATCGTCTCTAATTTCTGAAATCCACTCTATGATGGCTCGATTTTGGTGGGGATCGAACTACAAGGAGAGAAAGATGCACCGGAAGAGTTGGGATTTTTTATGTCAACCTAAGTGGCTTGGGGGTCTAGGCTTTGGAGATTTGGGGGTTCTTAATGATGCTCTTTTGGGGAAGCATATTTGGCGACTTGCGTGCAATAAAATCTCCCTCTTTAGCCGTGTCTTAAAGGCTAAGTACTACCCTCACTCCTCAATCTTTGAAGCGGCTTTGGGTTCCTGCTCGAGTTTCTCATGGCGCAACATATGGGGTTCTAAGTCTCTGGTCCTTGAAGGTCTTCTTTGGAGATTTGGCGATGGACAGAAGAATAAAATTTGGGAAGACCCTTGGCTTATTGATGACGAGGGGCGTTTTGCACTTTTGCTATGACTGAAACACAGGACCCCGAGTGTGTTATGGTAGCAGATTTATTTTCTGCTAATGAGAATGGGTGGGATTATGAGAAGGTGGAGAGAATCTTCAATGACCGAGACAAGCAGCTTATTTATGCTATTCCCATTAACGACAGGTTGCCTGCTAATATTCCCACCTAGGCGTGGTCCAGGCATGGTGATTACGAGGTGAAGATTGCCTATCTTTTAGGCAAGTCATGCTGGCTTGATAACTTCGAGAAGTTTTTGGTTGAAATTTGGAAGGCCAAAGTCACGCCTAAGGTGAGGCATTTTCTCTAGAGGTGTTGTACTAATACCCTCCCCACTCGTACTTTGCTGAATTACAGGCACCTCGTTGAGGATCCAAGATGCCCTTGTTGTGGTTCGAGTTGCGAGTCTGTTGTTCATGCCCTTACATCCTGCCCCTCTATACGTTTTGTGTGGGAAAAATCTGAGTGTAGTGCTGCGCTGAACATTGGGGAGCTTACTGCATTTAGTGAGATTATTATGTTATGGCAAGACAAGTTGGATGAAGTTACATTTCAAAAATCTTTGTTTCTAGTCTGGTAGCTTTGACATTGACGCAATAAATGGGTATTTGAGAGCACTTGTGAACCTGAGGAAGTTATCCTTCACCGTTATTGCAGGTTAGTTGCTGATTTCAACCTCTACAATGAGAAGATTTATGGCTAGCCAAAGCAGGTTCGACCCCCTGGCAAGACTGTTTGGACTCCCCCCTCCCTTGGGGGTGAACAAGATCAATGTTGATGCTCATCTAAAGATGAAGGGTGGATTGGCTACAGCTCGAGGTAAGTTTTGTTTGCTGCGGTGAGAAGAATTAAAGCCAGATGGGATTCATTGGTGGATGAGTGCAAAGCTGCTGTTTTTGGGCTAAGGTAAGCAAGAGTACATGGCTTCACATACCTTATATTCGAATCTGATTCACAGCTTATGGTGTCGAAGCTTGGAAAGAAAACCTTCAATATGTCTCCGGTTGACAGCATTCTAGAAGACATCATCACTTCTAGCTCTAGTTTTTCGTCTATTGTTTGGTCTCATGTTAAGTGAGATGGTAATTACGTAGCTCACCATCTTGAAAAGTTAGTGCCAGTTGATGTAGAGCAATGTTGGGAAAATCATGTCCCTAGTGAAATTTCCCCGTATGTACTTGTTGACACACTTACTATTTAAATAAAATGCTCTAACCGGTTTTCAAAAAAAAAGGTGACGTCTTAAATACCCACCTAACACCCGTCATAAATGCATGCTGACGTGGGGTACTGTACAGTAACTAATTGTACCTTGGGGTTACAGTGTAGAAGTTTAGAAATGTAAGGGCACAACATAGAATTTTAAATGTTGAGGGTTATAATGTAGAATTTCTCCTTTTTTATTTGCATCAATTTGATTGGCACATTTGCCGAGACTCTACTTATGATAGTAGACATTTTTACGTATCTAATGATATATTATTGTAGACACCTAAAAATGTCTCCCCAAAACCAAACTCGGTGATGAACAACCTTTCATCGCCACTATTGGTCGGGTTGAGTATTTAATCTTGGAGTGCTTAAATCCATATTTTCATTTCATAAACCAACCCAACTTCTAGCCCATTTACCCAAACCATAACTTATTTTCCTCTTTTCGTGCCTTTAACGCAAAATAATTCATTTCGTGTCCATTAAAATAATTCATTTCATGTCCCTTTTATAAAAAAACGTTTGTCCAGTTTATTTTGATCAATTATCTGGGTTCAATGATTGAATAGTTGGATGGGGATTTAAAAGGGCTTTCCAACGATATATTATGAGCCCAAATCCGAGTTATAACGAATAAGTTATGGCCAAAATATTAAGTCAGGCCCAAACCGAACCTAAGCCCACCTTACCTACGACCCAATGATCATGTGGAGGGTCCAAATGATTTGATCTAATTCCTAAACCAATTAGGATTAATTAGAAGCTTCTATAAGTTTCTAAAAGATCTTAATTATCCTTTTTGAAAAGATAAGATTAAAGAGTTTGAAATTGAATAAAACTTTTCTTTTTGAAAATCCTAATTCAATTCAAATTGAAAGACGTTCAAAGATAGTCAGATATGATTTTGTGCCTAGTATTTTTTATCCAAATTTTATATGGTTGGATAGACATTGAAATTATCTTTCCAATGATATATTATAATATCAATTCCGAGCTATAACGGAAAATATATGAATAAAATATCAAACTCTATCCAAAACTGTCATCGTCTCACTCTTTCGACCATATCTTTTATTGTACAAAATATTTTAATCTGATTTTAATTGGGTTAGACATTATACTTCAAGATATTTCCAAAGATATCTTATTTATCTTATTCCAATTTCTGGATCAAAAGATATGATAAAAACAAAAACCGCAAAAACTGTTGTCTATCGAGTTTTATTCCGATTTAATTCGGATCTTATCTTGTTTTTTAGACCCTTATTTTTTCTCTATAAATAGAGGTCATATCTCTCCTTTTTCAATCATCAACAAGATTGATCAAAAAATAATTCTCTTCTCCCTCTTACTAAGATTCCTCCTTTTTCTTATTTTAAGTGATTGATTACAAAGGGAACTAACAAAGTGAAACAGAGGGAGTAATTTGAAATGAATTACTTATGGCATTCTAATTATTTATTTTAAATAAGTTAAAAAATATTTTATAAAAGGAAAGTTTTATTTAATTAAGTTCGGATTTATTTTAGGAATGTTTTATTTTAGTTAAGTTTCATTAGGAAAGGAATCGGTAAAGATAGTAAAGGAATCTTAGTAATTTGGAATTTGATTGCAACTTTGTAATTAATGTTTTGTCTTTTCTTGTTTTATTTATGGTTATTGGCTATAATTAATCACCTATTATAAATTTTAATTGGAAAATTTGTCATGTCAGCAATCCACTAACACATACATTAACCAATCAAAATTATTTGATTCTTTAAACACCCAATTAGATTAATTGTTCATGAATTATGAAAATTATTCGCCTTATAATTATGTTAGGAAATATTCAATATGCAACTAACAAAATGAAACGGAGGGAGTATTTAAATACCTTGCAAAATACTTATTTAAAATAAAATACTTATAAAAATACAGGGTATTACAGTCTACCCCCCTTTAAAGAAGTTTCGTCCCGAAACTTGGGAAAGGAAATTCAAAATTTTTCCTCACTTTATATAATATTGTTGTAATTTTTGTCATACCTTTACCTTTTTGTGTCTCTTTGAGAACACAATTACTCAAAATACTCGTTGAAATTGTGCAAAAAGCACAAAAATAACTAAAATATAGGGATAAAGCGCGAAATTCTATCGTATTCTACGCTCCTTAAAGAAAACGAGTTACATCACCATAACTCAACATACCTGAAACAACTCTGGGTATTTCTTTTTCATTTCATCCTCGAATTTCCAAGTGGCTTCCTCATATTCTTGGTTAGAACATAGCACTTTCACAATCTTAATATTCTTATTGCGTGTACTACGCACTTTACAGTCAAGGATCTTGACAGGTCTTTCCTCATAGGTTAAGCTTTGTTTTAACTCAATGGTTTCAGGTTGTAAGACATGAGACTTATCAGGGATATATCTTCATAATTGAGACATGTGAAATACATCATGCACTTTACTTAGCTCCATAGGTAAGGCCAACCTATAAGCTACTTTGCCATTCCTTTGCAGTATCTCATATGGGCCAATATACTTTGAACTAAGATTTCCCTTCTTTCCAAACCTCGTCACTCCCTTCATTGGTGACACCTTTAGCAACACTTTGTCACCAACTTCAAACTCCTCTTCTCTACACTTCAAATCGGCGTAGCTTTTTTGACGATCTTGAGCTGCTTGAATTTTAGCATGAATTTCCTTTACTTGCTTCACTGTATCCTCGATCATTTAAGGCCCTAAAATCATTATTTTACTTATTTTGTTCCAACAAATGGGACTAAAACACTTTCTTCCATACAAAGCCTCAAATGCAGCCATACCAATGCTCACATTATAACTATTATTATAGGAAAATTCAATCAAATCCAAGCTCTCTTCCCATCCCCCTTGGAAGTCTATCACACAAGCTCTCAACATGTCCTCCAAGGTTTGAATGGTTCTCTCAGTTTGTCCATATGTAGCAGGGTTAAACGCTATACTCATCTTCAATGTTGTACCAAAGTTTTCCTGTACACTTTTCCAGAATTTTGAAAGAAACCTAGAATCTCAATCAGACACAATATCCTTTGGAACCTCCATGTAACATCAGTACCTCAAAACATATCTAATGTAAGCTTTTGGAAGTTGCTCCATCTTCCAATTCTCCTTCATTGGTATAAACACTGCAGATTTTGTAAGTCTATCCACCACTACACAAATGGTGTCATTTCCACTCTTTGACTTTGGGAGGTAAGTCACAAAGTCCATTGAGATACAATCCCACTTCCATCCAGGGATCGGATTTCCAATGATTGCACAGTCCCTTGGGGTCTCTTGTGCTCTATCTTCACCTTTTGACAAGTCAAACACTTTGCTACAAATTCCGCAACTTCATTCTTCATCCTACGCCACCAATAAATTGTAATACCCGAATTTTTTTTTTTTTTTTTGATTTTATATAATATATTTTATGAAAAGTACTTTATTTTTTTATTTATTAATTAACTTTCCTAATATCATATATCTTATTTTAGAGTTCGGAAAGTTTAAAACCCTATTTTTTTTAGATAGGTATAGACACCCGAATGTGTCTCCCCATAAACCAAACCCAGTGATGAATACTTTTGGCGTCGCTTGATTATCGAATGAAGTAAAAGTGTGAAAAGTTTTGTGATGCGGTCGTTTTAATAAAAATCTTTCTTTCTATTTTTGAAAATCTTCTTTATTTTATGTAAATAGTTAGTCCAATTTAGTTTGGTCTGTGACAAGGGTCCAATAATAGTGTAGTTGGGTCGAGCTCGTAAAGAGTTTTCCAATGATATTAAGCCCAATTCCGATGAATAATGAGGAGGTTATGGCCAAAATATTAAATTGGGTCTGAAATGGTTTAATGGCCCAATGATCTAGTGGAGGGCCCATTAATTATTATTCCTAAAATTTTTAGGATTGATTATAGTCTTCTAGAATAGTCTAGAAGGTTATTTTGAGTTCTAATAGCGTTAGGATTGATAATTATTCTGCTTAGAAAAATAATGACTTTGATTTGAAATAAAACAAGTGTTTTAGTATGATAAAATCTGATTTAAAATTATTTAAAATGGATTTTAATTGCTTAATTATATTAAGAAGAGGATTCAGTACTGTAGACACCCATTTGTGTCTCCCCAAAACCAAACCCAGTGATGAGTACCTTTCACGTCGAATCATAATCGAATGAAGCGAAAGTGTGGAAAGTTTAGTGTTGCGGATAGTTTTAATTTCTTTTCTCTTCTCTCTGTTTTTGAAAACTTATTTCAAGAAAACAGCCAATCCAGTTTGGTTGTTCCGTGATATGGGTCCAATAGTAGTGTCTTGGATGGGGCTTGACAAGAGCTTTCCAACGATATATTATAAGCCCAATTCCGATGAATATTGAGGAAGTTATGGCCAATTTACTAAACTGGGCCCGGTTTGAGCCTTATATGCGACCCAATGATCTAGGGGAGGGCCTAATATGATTTATCATTCCTAATGCAATTAGGAATAGTTTTAGTCTTCTAGATTCTTCTAGAAGGTTCTTTTCATTCCTAATTTAATTAGCATTGATAAATTGACTTTTGTTGACTTTTCAGAGTTTTAATTAAAATCAAAAAGCATTTTCGAGGAAAGTATACGATTTTATCCTCCAGTGCAGCAAATTTATCTGATTTTCGAAAACGCGTCAAAAACAGGCCTGGCGCCTGACTCCAGGCATTGGCGCCTGGAACCAGGCTTGGCGCCTGGCGCCAGCCATTGGCGCCTGGCGCTAATGTTGGTGTCTGGCGCCAGTTAGCCAGGGTTGACGCCAGCTCTGTATTAGGTGCGCCAAGTGCTCTATTTTGATATTTAATCTTTTTGGCTGATTTCTCTATAAATAACGTATTAAAAACTCCGTCTTCATTCAGCAACAATCAGTTTTAATTAATATTCACCTACAATTAATTTTCATTCATCAAGATTTCTATAATCAATTCATCCATCTCTTTCTCTTCTAAATATTGCTTTTCACATAAAAAATTTCGCATTCATTAGATCTAGAAACACCTAGCCATATTCGAAGTTGCCTTCGCCCTAGACATGAAAGTTTTAATTTCTGAGGGTTTGGTCCCAAATCTCTCTTTCCATTATTTAATTTAATTGTTTGTTTATCATTTTCCTTGAAGTTACTAACGTGTGTATTTTGTTATTAGAAAGAGGTACGAGGCATTAAAGTAAGTAATTTAATGGTTTTAATTGATGTTATGATGTAGAATCATGTTTATGTTGTTATTATGATATTCCTAGTATCATGTCTAAGGCATTTTTAATATTAAATATGCTTAATATGATTGTTGCAATGCTTCCTATTTTCTTCCTAATATTTATGATTGTTAGTATCATGTTAGGGTTAAAGATTTGATTTTTATTGCTTAGTGACATGCTAGGGTTTGTTATTAATCTTAATAGTATCATGCCTAGGATCTTGCAATTATTATGCTTTAATATTAACATGAACATGATTATGATTATAATTGTTATAATTTATGATGATTATGAATATTATTATTATTGTTATTTTGATGATGATTATTTTATGATTATTATTGTTTTGATTATGACTATAATTTTATAATGATGATTATTATTGTTATGATTATTATTATGATTATTATAATTATTATTCATGATATTGAATATTTATTGTGTTGCTTGATGCTATTTATTGTTATTGCTTGATCACGCCTTTTATGCATGTTTAAAGGGAATTTGTACTTGTAATCATGCTTAATAAGATAATTAATAATCTTGTTTAGGGTTAATTTGATTATAATTCAAGTGATCGTCGATAATAGATTTATTTATGCATTAAATTCAACCAATATAGATAAACAGGTTTAGGGTAATCCTATTGATTGTATGTTAGTCAGAAAGCGCACATGAATACGATCAGAATAAAGTAGAGGCCTATTATTAGGGCAGGTTCAATCTCTTTTAGGTTGGATTTGTACCTTCATCCCCGAACCCTTATTTGGTTCTAGACCTTATGGAGTTGACGATCTATTGGATCGTTAAGGGGTGTAACCTTCACCCTGTGAACGGTTTACAAGTTCCTAAAACTTGTTGGCGACTCTTTTGCTCTATCTTCTTCCCTTTTGGACGCCACCGTACTTTAGTGTATGATCACAGTAGGGTTCAAGCTAGGGGTTAACGCTTGAAATTTATTCCCTACAAGTAAAAATCTTGTTTTATCTTTTAACCAGCGCCAAACGACAAGCCTGTCGCCAATCAACAGAGCCTGTCGCCATGCGTGATCCTTGTCGTTTTGCGTTGGGCTCTGTCACTGGCGACAGGGGTTAGTTTTATTCCGATTCAAATTCTAATCGATTTCGGACTATTTTCATATAAATAGGGGTCGTATTTCCCCGTTTTTATTCATTAACAATCATCCAATCATCTCTCCTCTCTCTCTAAGCTAAAAGCTTATTCTTTCTCCCTCTTTCTAAACCTTCCTTTTCAGAAAATTCCGCATTCACAAGATCTAGACTCACCTAACCAAGTTTGAAGTTGACTTCGCCCTAGACATGAAAGGTTGATGATTTCTTAGGGTTTGGTCCCAAATCTCTATTTCAATTATTTAATTATTTAAATTATTATTTTCCTTAAAGTTACTAACGCGTGTATTTTGTTATTACAAAGAGATATGAGACATCGAAGTAAGTAATTTAATTACTTTGTTATTCTTTTGATATAGAAATCATGCTTTAATTCCTAGTATCATGTTTAGGTTGCTTCCTATTCTTTCTAATATCATGTTAGTATCATGTTAGGAATAAAGTTTTAATCTTTAATGTTTATTAACGTGTTAGGATTTGTTATTAATCTTGATAGTATCATGCCTAGGATCTTGCTAATATTATTATGTTTTGATGAGAATATTATTATGATGACGATTGTTGTTATTGTTGTTTGATATATTATTGTTATTGTTTGATCATGCCCTCTCTTGCAGGTTTAAAGGGAAATTGTACTTGTAATCACGCTTAATAAGATAATTAATAATCTTGTTTAGGCTAATGTGATTATAATTCAAGTGATCGCCAATAATAGTTTTGTTTGTGCATTAATATTCAACCAACATAGATTAATAGGTTTAGGGTTAACCTAATGATTGTATGTTAGTCAGAAAGCGCACATGAATACGAGAAGAATAAATTAGAGGCCAATTTTTAGAGCAAGTTCAATCTCTTTTAGGTTGGATTTGTACCTTCATCCCTTAATATTCAATCATGGTTCCAGACCACTATGGAGTTAGCGATCTCATGGATCATGAAGGGGTGTAACCTTCACCCTGTGAATGATTTACAAGTTCTTAAAACTTTTTGGCGACTCTTTTACTCTAGCTTCCTTCCCTTTGGACGCCACCATGCTTAAGTGTATGATCACTGTTGTTTCGGGGTTTTCTGATGTCCTGCGGGAGAGTTACAATTCCGAGACTGGAACCGGACGCCTGTACCTGCAAAATAACGGAGACTCCTGAGAGCTCCGCCTCCAACGGTCAAGTTAGTACCTGATTAAGGAGTAATCAATACAGAAATTAAAGTAATGAGATCTCTCTAGGTGAGAGTGCTTAGTGTTGGTAATCTGCGTCGTTAGCGAGATTAGCCGGTTGTTAATAACTCTGTTCTTCTCTGCTTGATCTCTTGATTATTCGATTCTGTGATTAATGAGGATTAATCGAGTATTTATAGCCT